TACCACTACTGATTGTGGTTACACTGGCCTGTATTCTTGTGTGCTGATTGTAATGGTGGTGGTGGTGGTGTGACTCAGGTCATCCTTTGTTTTCTTTTTCTTTTTCTTGCATACATCCACACTACAGTCTAACTAATCTTCCACCTGTTGGGATAAACTTCTTTTTTTTGTTTCTTTTAATGTTAATGTGTTGTTTTGTGTGCTTTTGCTCTCTTTGTTTATCCTATAATAATTATTATTGCTACTCCATTGTGTGTGTTCTTGGAGACTCTCTCTGTGTGTGCACCTGGGCTTGTACTGTAATGATGATGATAAACTGTTTTTTTCGCAGGGAAGGAAAAGATAAAATAATGTTAACAGATGAATTTATATTTATAATTGCGTATATACACACATATAGACGTACACCCATAGTTGGTGTATATTTCTGTGTTTACTGTGTGAGTTGGTCTAATAGTTAATATCTTTTTTTTTGCTTGTGGTTTTTCTGGTTCGTCTTGGGCTCTATCCTGCACGTTTGTGATGTTATGTTTTGAGCAGAGAAAATAAAAAAACATTAATTAATACAATTTTATTCCTAATTGCTTGAACAGAACAACAAACTCAGTGGACTGTGAGTTATTTTTCTGCGGTGGTTCCTGTTCTTAATTTTATCATTTTTTTGCTTGGGCGCTTTGTGCTTTCTCCTGCACTGTGATGAGGGAGTATTTCGTGTTGGGAGAAGCAATAATAAGGAATAAACATATATATTAATAATTTTGCACATGGTTTGACCGGAAGAGCTGGTCATGTATTTCTGTGCTTTCAGCTTCCGTTGGTTATTTTCATAATTTATCCTTTTCTTTGTTAGGGTGTTAATTGATGATTATCTTTTTTGTGCTGGGTATTGTGTACTTTTTACTTTAATTTGGACACTATTTGAGTGGTGGTTGCAGATATCTGTTATGTTTGGGTTCGTGTTAACCTTTTCGTTTTCTTCTCTTTATGTGTCTTTCTCCTGATTTCTGTTTTTGTTGTCTCGTACTGTTTGTTTTGTTTAGATCACCAATTTGAGATAGTAACACCAACGGGGAAGAGTAATGATGTCAGTACGCCATGTCTTTTGCGTTCTCACCATTGCACTCTCTTGTGTCTGCAGTTGTGTGGTAGCTGATGATGGAGCTCAAGCTCTTAAGGCTGAGAAACGTGGTTCTGAGGGTGTACCTGCTCATGTTAATGAAGTTCCTGGCGCTTCTCCTTGTCAACCTGGTTCAACTATTGGGAAAGATGGTACTTCTCCGTGTTTAGAAAGTGGTGGTAGAGGACGTAATGATGATCGTGTTAAACCTCCTGATCCACAGGAAAATAAACCTGGACAAGTAACCAAAAATACAATGGATGGCCTTCGAGAAGAGGGAAGTGTTAGCAGCGGAACGAAAGATGAACTCACCGAACGAGAAAAGGTAGAAGAACGAATCGAAGAAGTAGATGGGAGGCATGTCACAAAGCCAGGTGATGATCCTGCAATATCTGGTTCTCCTACTGATACTGAAAGCCTTGGAGATGCTGCTGTTGACACTCATTCCCCATCACGTACGCCTGCACCAGGTGGTAAAGTGCAAACCGAGAATAAAGAAGAAGAGGCGTTGGGACCTGAGGGACAAAATGTGGATGCCTCTCCAGCTGGTGGACGAGGGAAAGGAAGCCAAACTGCTGAAGAGCGAAAAGAAGAGAACCTGGAAGATCCTCCACAAGGAGAGCGGACTGAGAATGCAAGGAGAACCACAACATCTTCAACTACTGAAGTGGGCACTACAGTGACTGAAGACAATAACGGTAATCAACAAGCAGAAGGAAATGGTGTTCCTTCTACTTCACCAGCTTCACCTCCACCTACAGAAGGTGTTGCAACGAGGGACACTGCCAACACACCCAATAATAATAAGGAATCAACGTCAACCACCACCACCACCACCACAACAACAACACCAACACTTCCTCCTGAACTCACAAACAACAAGAAGGGTGATGCAGACAGCAGCAGCAGTATCATCAGTTCTGTGTGGGTACGTGTGCCACTACTGATTGTGGTTACACTGGCCTGTATTCTTGTGTGCTGATTGTGTGATGGTGGTGTGACTCAGGTCATCCTTTGTTTTCTCTTTTCTTTTTGCATACATCCCTACAGTCTAACTCATCTTCCACCTGTTGGGATTTCTTTTCTTTTTTGTTTCTTAATGTTAATGTGTGTTTTGTGTGTTTTTGCTCTCTCTCTGTGTTTATCCTATAATAATTATTATTGCTACTCCATTCTGTGTGTGTGTGTTCTTGGAAACTCTCCCTCTGTGTGCACCTGGGCTTGCACTGTAATGATGATGATGAACTGTTTTTTGCAGTGGGAGAAAAAGAAATAATAATAAGAGATGAATTTATATTTATAATTGCGTGTATATACGTACACATATAGACTTACACCCATAGTTGGTGTATATTTCTGTGTTTACTGGGTAAATTGGGCTAATGGTTAATATCTTTCTGTTTGCTTGTGGTTTTGCTGGGGCAATGTGTGATTTAGAACTGCGCTATTTTGGTTGTTCATTGTGTGCAGATCGAAGAATAATAGTGGTTACACATTTGTATTTGTAAATGTACATTGACGCAATGGTACCCATATTGTTTTGAATTGTGTGTTAAATGATGCTGTGGGTATACGTTTAAATGCGTTTTTCTCTCTATTGTTATTGGGCTTTATTGTTTGTGGTGGATATTCATATTCTTGGTGATGGTATTGTATTGTATGAGTATTTCTTTTTGTTCTTGTTCTCTCTGTTACCGTTGGGGAATGTGTTTGTGATTATTTTACGTTCTGTTTGTTTTCTTTTTGTTTGTGCATCTCAGATATCCCAAATAAGGAAACGAACTGCTGCCGTGATGATTCTTCACCGTTTGTTGTATGGTATGGTCTTGTTTTTGACCATTATCTCTTTATGTGTGGCGGCTGATGAAACTGACCTGTCTTTAACTGAAGATGGTGATAATGCTTGCTCTCCTGAAGATAATAAACCTGAAAAGTGTGCTCAAACTCCTAAAGGTGAGCCTGGTCCTCCTGGTCCTGCTGGTCCTGTTGGTCCTGATGGAAAAGGTGAACAGAGTACTGCTGGACTTTCTGGTGGGAAAGCCACAGACCAAGAACCTCTTGTTGTAGAAAATGGTAAGGCAAGTCGAGAAAATGCCGCTCATGGTTCCGGTATACGTGCTGAATCTCCACTACAACCTTCTGTTCCTCTACCAACGTCAGCTTCAACTGGGACTTTGGTTACTCCTGGATCTGCAGTTCCTGGTAGTCATGGTGCTACTGGACCAGGTAAAGAATCTGCTGAGGGTGACTCAGTTGAAGATCAACATGGACCAGATGCCATTGGTGCTTCTGGTGAAGATGGAACTGGTGGTCAACCCGCAGCTTCTGCTACTGCGCCTACAGTTAACAGCCAACCTGGAAACAACGACAACAGTGAATCCACTGAAAGTACAGATAACAAGGGTGAGGCCGTGACACAATCAGCATCTTCTTCCAGCAGTACAGATTCAAAACCCGATGGAAAATCTGAAACTACAACGACTGGGAATGAGACTACACCTACAGAGAGTGAATCATTAAACAACCAAAATGAAGGAGGAAATACAATAACCACCACCACCACCACTACCACAACAACAACAACATTTCCTCCTGAACTCACAAACAACAAGAAGGGTGATGCAGACAGCAGCAGCAGTATCATCAGTTCTGTGTGGGTGCGTGTACCACTACTGATTGTGGTT